CTAGACTGAAAAGAATATAACAAATAAGGATCAAAACTGTCTGTGGATTCACCTTTATTCTTGCATAGTTACAGTTTTCTAATACAATTCCTTTTAAGGGCAAAGTGGTTATGTTTGGTCTGTGTCTGAACAACAACAAAAATTACATAAGAAGTCCTCAACAAATTACTCCCATTCATTCTTTATTATGGGAGAGTGGAATATCATCCTACAATCTCACCACTCCCAGCTCTGCCTTCAGTAATCCATACTATGTATAAACTTTTTAAATTTCATAAGGAAGAAAAAAATTCCCAAATCTAGAATGCATCTTTGACACCAACTTCACCAGGCAGGTTTTCACTCAAAAACTGTAAGAAACCAAATTACAGTTGAAATTTAAAAATTAATTAAGTTTATCTACTTACAAAATTATGGTTAAGCAGCTGGTGTTTATCTGACTCTCGTCTCACTCTTTAGTTGTTCCTCACAGTCCATCAGTATCCATTCATATCTCATGTTACTCTTCTACTTTGTAGAAGAGAGTAGAGCAGGATCATGTTTGTTCTGAGTTTGTACACAGCCTAACCTAACGGGATCCTGCTCCAAGATCAAAACGTGAGTTCCAGTGTTCTAATAACTGGTAGTATTCATAAAAATAACATTATCATTATTAGTCTGAGAGAGAACATTTGATTTTACTCTTAGGTTAGTGTGCAAGTTCCTATTGTGTCTTATGAGGAATCTCCTCCACTAAGAAAATCTGGTATTTGAAGTTTGCATTCTGCAAACTGCCTGTTAGAATACATTTGCACACGCATATGAAAGGGAAATTTAATAGCACTTTGTTAATCAAGTAAAAAACCTTACTTTGTTTTATTCACGATGAGCCTATAGTCCATTCAAACAGCAAAGCTGAAAATTTCATTTAAAGGACAGCAATGAATTCACACCTGGTTTTAGAAAGAATGCAGAGAAAAGGGGCAAGGAGCACAAAGGAAATTCAACGCAGTCGAACAACACACATAAGTAACAGGCAACTGATTTCTTCCACACAAACTCTGAAGATTCTTCTGCATGCCATGTACCACGCAGATGTCTCTATCTTTAAAACAAACAAAAAAAGAGGGCAAATAAATCAACCCAAAACATAACAAACCACAAAAATCATGTCCAAAAGCACACTTTTTTATGGACTAAACTCCTATCAACATCTGTCACCCTTACTCTGAACCCTATGGCATAGACTTGTAAGTGCTCTGTACTGTGTATCTGTCACAAATTTCACTTTGTGAGCCCAACGTGTGTGAAGTTAAAGTCTTCCTTACACAGCTTGGGCTTTCATATTCCTCCAGCATCACCACACAGCTCTCTGGGCCTTTAGTTTTCAGACCTTTCATCTAATCATTTCCTATGATTTTGGAAGCTATATATTTGTAAGAATAAATACATTTGTGGGAAATTGATCCTTCTAAACTACCAAGAGGTGCTCACAAGCAAGCCAATATCTGGAATAGGTAACTCCAACAGGTGAGAAACAGGAGCAGTGCCCACAGTCAGCCGGGTTAGGAATGTCCTCTGTCCATACTCTCTAAGCCTGTGGACAGAAATTGGGCTGGAAATAAAGTGGCAGCTCAACTAGGTTAAACAGAAGAAAACATTAATCTCTTCACTATTTATAACAGTAGAGAAAATACTGCAACAATCTGGTATGTTATCACAAGCCCATGTTCACTACTACCCTAAATTCTCAGTCATAGTGCTCTAGTGGTTTACACGTAAATTAGCATAGCTCTGCTACTTGCAATGGGGCTTTCATCCAAGTACCTGATAAACTCAGCATTGCAGGCTGTTGATGGATCCTACTTCAAAACTTCCTCTCCATATCAACAAAACCAGCACCAACAGGGTGCATTAGCCCCAGCATGGTACTAACGTGGCTGTCTGTGGCATCTGAACTAGGCTTCATACAAAAGATGAACTAAACAGGACTGCAAATTAATCCATGCTTCAAAACAAAGTACTGGTAATTACACTTTTTTTTTCACCTAGTTTCAAATGGTTGGAAATCCAAATGCAGCCAAAGCAAGCACAAAAAGAGTTTCACGTGCAAAATGAGTCTGTACAATCAGCACCTTGGTGTTATTTGTTTCTCTACACAGAATAATGAATTAGTTCTGACAAAGTAGGAAAACACAGCGCTTCTCAACAAGGCTTTACAGGCTCTCAAAGACTCTCTGGCTATTCTGCCATTACCCACCAGCCACACACAGCACACTCATGCCTCTTCCAACATGTCAAATAGCACGAGCGAAAAAGCAACAAAAATGTTCTCCACTGTTCTCCACTTGGACATCTACATGGCTACAGCAATGTAAAGAAACAAATTTTGTATATTCCCCATGACTATTAGTCTCTCTTACTCTCTTTTCTGCCATATCTGTTCTCTCCTTCCAAGGCTTCACAAATTGGAGAAATAAGATCCATCTTTATAAAGTACTTCTTCCTCTCTTTCTGTTCCCATGTTTAAGACTACCAGTGGTGCAGCCACACAGTGGACTTCTTTTTTAAGGAGACAATATGGCTCTAAGCCTTAATGGCACAACTACTTTTTTGATCTTGACTACCGGACCAAATTCTCACGCACCTTTTAACAATATTAATTCCATCACAGACCTATGATGCATTCATCCCTGTATCACAGCCAGTCCACAGAAGTGACTTTGCCAAGAGCCCCTGAAACCTCTAGCTTTAAAATGCCATTCCACCCAAGGGCACACACATCAAGTATATGTGTGAATTACCTGTACCTACACCGCACACCAGAACTCTGTGTGATGCTTTTTAATTGCATTATCCAGATAGCATACGCTGCAAAATCAGTACCCAGATCCCTTTGCTTTCAAATCTGATTAAATTCTAAAGCTTTTCAGGACATCTTTTGTTCTGAAGAGTACTGGTCACTGCAACAATTTACAACCTCTCTCAGTAGTGGACATCCCTTCAGCTTCTTTTGCTCCCAGTCCCCAGCTCAGAAGGCCAGGTCCGCGAGTCAAATGCTGCTTATTGCACACCAGTTCTCCACTTGGCAGGTATCTCATTTGACAAACCACAGCCAGATCATGCCAGTCCTATTACCCTCCCACAGTCTGCGGTTGGACCTCTGCATTCATTTTATGCCTGCTTCTCTCAAGTTTAATCTGTTGCTTTAAAATTACTTGGAAGAACACTCAGATTAGGCTTTATATACTCCCACACTAACAATCCCTAAAGACATACACAGAAACCAAAGATAATTTCTTTACAATGTTAAATTGTAAGTTTTCTTAGTTTATAGTACTCAAAAGTATAAACAGAGAAAGCAGAAACCGAGCAGGTCATGACAGTTAGACATATTCTTCCAAAGAGGGTAACTATGTGCACCTGGTTACCAAAAATAACTGGAGAGTTGGTTACGTACACTAAAAGTAGCCTAATAGGTATTACTCCACTCATCACATCTATGAGGTAGGTTTACTGTCCAAGGAAGTAAATACATGCAAGAACTATGTTGCTACATGCACACACACTCCTAAGTGTAAGGCAGAAATACCAGCCACCTTTAACTGTCCTACTACTTGAAAGCACGTTGAGGGCTGACAAAGAGAACAGTGCACTCTGACAGCCCACGTTATATGCAGATTGTACCTATGTAATCCAGTTAATAATTCAGATTACTGTGCTCCACTTGAGAATTTAACTTTTTTTTTTTATACTGGTTATACACAGGAAGTTCCTCTAAGTCTCCTCTTCCCCTTAAGACTTTCAGTACAAACGGGAGACGGATGGGATCAGAAGCACATTATGGTGCCCTTCATTCTAAGGCTACCAGTCAAGTGCCAAAAGGTTTTGTAGCAACCAAGCTGTTCCAGCCTGTCAGGCCTCAGCACCATGGATGGTTTGACCGAGGCACATCATAACCACAACTCATGGCCTCTGACAAACTCATCCTACTCCAAGGACCCAATGGCATTGCATTGATTCTGTCAGTACTGTAACAATCTTGCCCTGAAGTAATATGGAGATAACTTGTATTTCTGCTGCTACTTTCCTTCACAGATTTTTTTAATGTGTTCTTTGTTTTGAATTTGTTTCCTTTTTTTCTTTTTTTTTTTACAACTGTGGGTACAGGGAAAACCCCAATGGTAATATGGCACTACTACTTTGCTAACCCTGAACTCTGGTTAAATAAGAATCATTACCCAGAAAAAAAAAGTTATTCAAATGGATGCCCTTTAAACTTCCATTTTCCATAACCACTGCACACCTATCACATGAATTCTCCACAGAACCACACAGAGACTTAATCTTACTACGTTGGTTATCCCAAGAGGAAAATAATTACAGAAAACTCTCCCTGATAAAATCATTAAGCCTAAGTCTGCGGGATCTCAGCCGGGGGTGTGTCCAGCAGGTTGTTCCCAAACGCACCGAATTCCGCGCACTGCCCGCGCACGCTTCCATGGGATCTGAATCGGGCCTTTGTACAGTACCGCTCCATTCCCAAACTTTCCAGAGGTCGCCCACCCAGGTCTCCTTCCTCCCCACGGCCACCCCGGGCAGCCCGCACGGCACGGCTCTCCAAAACACCTCTGCGCACACGACCGGGATGAACATCCTTCCCACCTCCGGCAGCCCCGCGCTTCACCCAGCCAAGTCTTCACTCCCGATGCTCAAACCTCTTCAGACACCGGTGGCGCCCCACGCTCCCCGCCCGCTTTTTAGCCGCCTTTTCGCCGCCCGCACTGGCCGCCCCCGGAGCCGGACAGCCGCTTCCCCTGGGACTTGTTGATGCCGGCCCGTCCGCCCCAGCGCCCCCGCAGCCCCCCAGCGCCGCCCGCTTCCAGCTCCCGCTCCCGGCCGCAGCCGCCCCCACCGCTTACCCGGCCTGGTCCGGGACCCGGCCGGCCCGGCGCCGCGCCCAACCCCGGCTCCGCACCCCCGAGAGGGCCCTCCGCCGCTCCCCCCTCCCGGCGACGCACCTTGAGGCTGCCCCGGAGGAGGCCCTTGCCGTGGCCGGTCAGCGCGAGGGCGGCGCGTCCCCAGGCCCGCCCTCCTCCTCCTCCTCTTCTTCCTCCACCTCCACCCACCACGTCTTCGTCTGGCGTCCTCCTCTTCCAGCGCCGCGGCCGGAGCCCTCCGCCCGGGCGGCCTCCAGGCGCTCTCGGGTCTTGGGGGGCCGGACGCGTCCACCTGCGCGGCCGGCCGCGCTCAGCCGCGGCTGCCCATGCTGAGCGCTGGCCAAGCGCCGCGCCTGCATGGTGCTCCTCCCGGGCCGCCCGGCCGCCCCCGCCGCGCTCAGCCCAGCGCGCGGCAGCGGCCCCGCGAGCTGCCAAGGGGCGGCGCGGCGCTCACCGGGGGCGGCGGTGGATGGTGTGCGGCGGGCGCGCCGCGGCCATGGGGCCCGCGGGCGCTCGGGCCAGGCGGGCCCGAGCCGGCCGGCCGCTGCGCCGCTCGCCCACCTGCTGCCCGGCGCTCTCCGTCTCTCCTTTCCCAAGCGGCTGCCGCCGGCCCTGGCCCGCCCGGCCCGGCCCGGCTGTCGGGCGCGGCGCGGTCCGCATCCCGCTCGCCCTTCCTCGCCGCCCCGGTCCCCCGGCGTCAAAACCCGGACTGGATTCCCGGCGGCCGCGGCGCCGCCAGGCGCGGCGCGGGGCGGCGGGGACCGCGCTGCCTTCGCCCGCAGGAGCGGGCGGGCTCCCCTGCGGGCGGCACCGGCCCCCGACACACACCCGCCCCGGACCCGGGGCACCCCACCGGGGCACCGGGGCCCGGGCCGACCCTGCTGGCGACGGGTCTGTCTAAACGGCAGGAGGGCCGGGAGTGCCCGACAGGACATAGAGGGGCTGGAGCGAGTACAGAGAAAGGCAACGAAGCTAGTGAAGGGTCTGAAACACAAGTGTTACGAGGAGCGGCTGAGGAGAGGCCGGAGGTGTTTATTCCTGGAGAAGAGGAGGCTCTGGGGTGACCTTATCGCTCTCTACAACTCTACAAATACCTGAAAGGAGGTTGTAGCCAGTTGGGGGTCGGCCTCTTCTCCCAGGCAAGAAGTGACTTGAGGAGAGGACATAGGCTAAAGCTGTGCGGGGGTGGTTCAGGTGGGACACTAGGAGGAATTTCTTCACAGAAAGAATGATTAGACATTGGAATGGGCTGCTCAGGGAGGTGGTGGAGTCACCGTCCTGGAGGTGTGTAAGGAAAGACTAGATGTGGCACTTAGTGCCATGGTCTAATTGACATGGGGGTGTTCAGTCATCGGTTGGACTTGATGATCTCAGAAATCTTTCCGAACCTAATTGATTCTGCATGGTGCCTCCGCCCAGCCGGCCCGGCCACCTCGCGCCGCGCTCAGCCCCTGTGACTGACAGCCTCCACCTGCAGGAGAGGCTCTCAGATGTCTAGGGCCTCGGTGAAAAAATTATTGTAGCTCTCCTCCCTAAAAATGATAAATGGGGGCAAAAATTGAAATTTTGGAGAAAAAAAAAACCACAGAAAAAAATGTTTGTGGGTTTTTTTTTTCCAAGATAAATAATTGAAGCAGTGTTATCTACACCCAGTTGGGGAGAAAACTATCCAGACAGTTAGGGAAATAGTTATGGTTTAAATTCTCATAATTCTGTGCTTAAAGCTTTAAAATACCTTTCTGAGAAGTTTTTTTTTTTATATTAAAATAGTTTCCCAACAGTTTGAAGTTACTACAGTCATCATTTAAATTTATTATAGGCTTCTATGCCATTTATTAATGCCTCCTGAGACTGAATTATACTTAACGTTGTCATATGCTTTTCCTAACCTCTTCCATTATAAGTCTTAAGGCTACATTTACATGTTATTTTTGAGCCATAATATTTTTTCCCATTTACAAATGAATCACAGTAATTCCCTTTTCAGTGTTCAGTACCTTTTTCCCTGCACATTGTTTTAGCCACACGCCAACAGGCCAAGTGTACACCTAATATGTCAACATGGGGCCAAGCTTCACCCTAGATTAATTTGTCCATCAAAAAGTGATTATATTTTTCATTCTGGAATATAGCATACAGCACTTTCTAGGCAAAAAATTATAGATAATACAGTACCCATTCTTAAAGAAATAATGAAGTTATTTTTCATGTCCAACTATGTAAGTTGTTTGAATTGTTTTCAACCCAATCCACAAAGAAAGTTGTTTTCATTCATTCTTTCAAGGTTCCCAGAGATTATACGTCCCTGGAAAAGATCTGCAACAAAACTGCCGGCAAATTCTGGTGTATCAGGTCTCAGCAGTATTTCCCCACCAATCCAAGTGTCTCTTCCAGATGTTTTACCACAGCTTTGACCAGCTGCACTGCAACATTGGCTCAGCCCATCTAACAGCAGCCAAAACCCCTGGTACATCCTGCCACAAGATGTTCTGTCTTTTTTCCTGCCACTGCATGTGCACTTAGCTTCTTGACACGTGGTTAATCAGTCGTAGTTTTTTTAAGCTTATGCTGCATAAAGGATAGATTCGTGGAAGAAAAATAAAGGACAAATTATTTTTTTTCCATTTTATTCCTATTCTGAATGTTCAGATTTAATGTTTTGATTTGACATAATTATGTTTAAACTTGAATTCCAACATGAATTTCAATGGTATTCTCAGTTCTTTAATACTTGTACCTCAAAGGCACAGAAATGGAATCATTCCAATACCTCCTAGTCTTCAAATTATTTGAAATGTTTTGTATCATTTGAATAACAACTGAATCTAATTGTGATTTTCTGTAGTAGCCTGTGTTCACAGTTATCTGAATTACAATCATGTTACTGAGAGTCCTATTCCTATCTGCCACGTATTGAGATATATGTTGAGAGACTTCCTTGACTTTTTTCAAAGGCCTGCATGCTTTAATTGCAGCAAAACCAGAGCCAAAAATTAGAAATTATATGCACTGAATGTGTTATCACTGAATTGTCTTATATGAGCCAGCATGAACACTGCACATAACAGAATGGAGACCAAAGGATCTCTTGCAGAAACAGTGGTGATAAAGGATAGTTGGTCTTGCACAGGCATGTCTGTTAACTGCCACGACAACTCACACTTCAGCCTCTGTTTGAACTCCCTATTCAGCCTTTTTGCCAGGTTAGTTCCAGGACTTGCTGTAAGGTACAGCTGGCTTGACACCTCTTGCCTGAGGTCTGGTGAGTGAACACAGAAGCAGAGATTGTTAACCAACAATCAGGCTTTCATTTGTCAGTTCAACAATTGTTTCAAAAATTACTAGTTGGGTTCTCTGTTTTGGTGGCAGCAGGCAGAGAAGAGAGGCTCACAGAGCTTCTCGGGAACAAACAAAACATCCCAGGCCTGCCTGCCTGCCTGCATGCCTGCCTGCCTGCCTGCCTGCCTGCCTGCCAGAGGGTGCTCCATCCCCCAAGATGCTTCCTCTTCCTCCACAAGACTCCAGCAGATCATGGCCCCTCAGATCTCAAAGCAGAGCAGGACAGCAGGGGAGCCCTGCAACAGTCAGTCAGGGTGACAGAGGAAAAGTGTAATCACATTCTGGTGGAGGGAGATGTGATACAATAATTTTCATGTCAGGAGGGTTAAGGAATGGCAGTCCTAGGAAGGGGCTTAGAGAAGACTAACTTTCTATTAGTAATCTGAGCTGCTAGGGCTTCTTACTCCTGCTGGGTTATCAAATGCAACAAGAAGCCAGTGTTGACAACTCTACAACAGATTGGTTAAAGATTTCTAGCACTTCTCAGTCGAGCCAGATTGGAGCTGTAGTAAGAATAACTTCTTTCACAGTATTTGATACAAACAAAAGATAGAAATGACTGTTTGATCCATTTGTCCCAGTCTGTCTGACTTGCAGTATGAATGGAGCTGAAGCTGAACTCATGTTGCCCTCACAGGCTTCCCAGGGGAGCTAAATTATGTAAGAAGTCTTCTAAGGACAGTAAAGGAGTCCTAGATACAGTCCTCTTCAGCATCTTTACATTCACAAATAATTAAGAGTCAAACACAAGCCATAATCCCCTATCACACATCAACATTTTTTTCCTTGAGACTCAGTCTTAGCACTCTTGGGGTGAACTGCTGAACAATTCTGGCCCATAGCCACAGCCTGACATCAAGTAAATTCTTGTGATACAGGGGGTAATATGGTATCACTTAACTCAACAGAAATATCTCATGATTGTACTACAGTATAATATGCCTCTAACAAAAGTACAGGCTCTGGCTGGAATAATAGCTGTTTACATTTCAATGATTTCCAAGCTTATTAAAAGTTAATGTGCACATTCACACTCCCTTTCTGTACACAGCTCTCCAACACAGCAGAAGTGTTTCAGATTTTTTTTGCCTCTAACCTTAACAATCAGTTCATATTTCCAAAACAGAAATCTCTCTCTTTCTCTCTCTCTAGACATAGGAGATAATCCAGATGATAAGTACATATAGGCATATATATCCCCCTCTAGAAGTCCTTCTAGAACAGTCTGTGAAGGTGAATTACAGTGACAGCTTTTCAGTTCATCTTGAATAATTATTGTCTAATTTTTTCAGTATATCTACTGGGCAGCCCCTGTGCACTAGCCACAAAAAAAAAAATAATTAGCTCTCCCTAGCACTACCTTAAGTACGCTATACTGATTAACATCAGCTGAAGTTTTCTTATGATACTTATTTTTTCCAAACATTTTATACAGTCCATCGCTCAGTTATTATAGTTAAATATTCCTCTCATTTTTAATATAATTATTAACTGATCTGTTTGACATTTTGTTCCGTTCAGTTACTGCTACTTTGTACAGGGATCATCACTGCAGGCAAAGCTTGCCTGACACCATACTGGGGAATGAGTTCCTTCGAAAAGCAGGTATTTTTCCACAATGCTCATGGAGGTACTACTCTGTAACCTCCTCGCTTGCTGGTCCCGGAACTGCTCCCACCAGGGACCATCACTCAGCAGTGCAGCTGCCAGCAGCGACAAGCACTAGCACAGCTAACAAGCATTGCTACGGGTGTGCTTTAGTTTGCCTCACAGGAGCAGGCAGATACATCACAGTGTGCATTTTACTGGACCACCCACAATCCTGCCTCAGCTAGCTCTCCTTTTTT